GCCCCACTGCAGTAGCCTGTGGCTCACGTCCTGCCAGCTACCCCTCGCCCACAGGTCAGCAGGAGAGACCTTTGAGTATGCAGCCCAGTTGTCACAGGGGGAACCACGAGCCAGGGTCCTGCGGGCAAACCAGCCGGGCTGCCTCCCTCAGGGCAGGACGGGAGCCGGTCGGACAGTGGCATTTCTTGTGGCAGTGCAGTTACGGGAGCACTGGTTTCTCACCTAACCGACCCTAGGATGGTGCTGGACCTGCCACGGGGGCCGGTGGGGGGAGCGCGTGGCTGCACAGGCAGCACCAGACTGGATGCCGGGCAGGGACAGTTCACCAGGGCCCTGCACCGCAGAGCCGCGAGCATCGCCAGGCCCCACCCTGTTCCCCGGGCAGCACGTGGGCGCTGGGTCCTGGCGGCCCAGGAAGAGAGCCACTGGTCGCAGCCAGGATGGTGGTCTGCCCTGCACGCACCCGCTCCTCCACTCCATCAGGGCTTGCCGCTGTCACACGGGCACCCTCAGGGAGGCTGCACCTGCTGCACGCTCCCTTGGTCTCAGACAGCCTGGGAGGCGGCCACCCACGGGACAGCCCTGACGTAGGCGACAACTTGGGGCCTGGAGAGACACGCACCCGGTCACGCGTGTCAGCTCTAGAAGGGTCGCTCGCGCGGCTAAATCGGTGGGAGGGCTCGGGACGCTTCCGCAGGTACTTTCTGAGTGTTGGTTACTTCCTCGGCATGCTCTCGGTCCTGGGAGTTGGCAAGCAAAACGCCTCGCGCACCCGCAGGCGCGGCTGACGGCTCGCTGCTGGCTGCGACTGGGTTCAGCTGGGCCCCACCTCGGGTGGCTGTGGCCGCTCTGAGCTGCCCTCGGGAGCGTGCCAGGAAAGCTACATCTCCTGCTACGGCTCACAGAGACTGGGATCCTGATTCCACTTTTTAATTTCCATGAAGGGATCTGCTCCAGACTAACAGGTAGCATGGTGGTTAAGGCACTAGGTCCTTCTCTTCTCCTTAAAGAGTTATTTATTTAGTCACTCACTTATTTTAATTTGACCAGAGAGAGACACAGAGAGGCAAAGAGAGAGAGGGAAAATGAGAAAGCAAGCCACGAGGTCCAGGACTCCAACTGTGGTCTGCTATGTGGAAGTGTGCAGCACCTTAACCACACACCACCTGCCGGTCCCCAAGGCAGTGGATTCTTACCTGGTGGACCATGGTTCGAATCCTGGACCTAGTGGCTTGAAAATCATGCCAGATACGTGAGTGTGCCCAAAATCCCAGGAAGATGGACGAGAAAAAAGGTGGGTGTAGCCGGCCCACCTGGGCGATTTCCCACTCTGGCCAGCCCATGGCATGGTGGTGAAGACACTGCATCCCACAGGCCTGGCTGCAACTCATCCCAGACCTGGTGGCTTGGAAAACGCCGGGCACATGCGTGTGCGTGCCCCAAATCCCAGAGAGCGGAGGAGGGGCTGCTGTGGCCACCTGCGGGGTGAGTGCTCCCCTTCCCCACTGGGCATGCGCTTTAAAGACAGAACTGTGACAGCCAGGTTGGTTCCTTCCAGACTGTCCCAGGCATTCCCACAGCACGTGCAGGCTTGCAGACAGGTGTGCGGGCTCCACCTGAGCATGCCTGCGTGCACGTGGCAGGACATGCCCGTCCCAGTCACCTGCCGTGCTCCCCCATGCTCCCCGTGCTCCTGGGCCTGCTGCCATCGGGGTCCTAGAGCCTGACGGGCGTCTGCCAGTCAGCCCAGCCGTCGGGTAAGGTGCGCAGCATCCTCTGTACCCCACCAGGCCCCACAGTGGGGAGCCTCCCCAGTGCCCTCGGCATGTTCCCGCGTACCCATCTCTCACCAGCCCCCCGCCCCCCGGCCCGCTGCTGTCAAACCCCTGGGAATGGGGCAGCAGGGGGCGCAGTGGATGACCATAGTTCGAGCCTCGGACCCAGCAGCCTGAGACTCACACCAGGTGCGCGTGAGCGTGGGCCCACATCACGCGAGAATGAAGAAGGCACTGCGGCACGGCCATCGCGGGGTGATTTCTCCTCTCCCCTCCCTCTGGCTCTACGTTGAATGCGCACACCCTATGGCAAAGACGTTAAAGACAGAGTGAAATCAGAACAGCTGAGACTGCCGCTCTGCGGGAAAGTGAGTGCGGATGCCGCTGCCGTGGCCAGAGGAGGGCAGCGTGCAGTGCAGCACAGGGTGCAAAGTGTGCTGCGACCTAGGGCCCCTTGTGTGATGACACTCGTGGAAGCTGTGCACCCTTACTCAGGGAGCCGAGTCCGCATGGCCTCCTGTGTGACTGTGAACCCGTTTGTGAGGGTGACACTGCTGTGATCCAGCCCCGGACACACCCGAGCAGGGGCAACCCTCTAACAAGTGTGTGAGGTCCCCATTTCCCATGAGCCTGCCTTGGGTCAATCCCATCCACAGCCCCACGGGCCAGCCATGCTGCCCTGCACGAGGCGGTCTCCGAGACACGTGCTGTGGGGAGCCGCCCACATCAAGATGGCTGCCATGACCTTCACTGCTTAAAATGGCTGGTGCGACCTTGACACAGACACCAGGAACGCAGACCTCCTGGTTCACACAGAACTGACAGGTCCTCAATTAGGTCCGCTGTAAACCCCGCCTACCTCCCTCTGCCTTGTGTATATAAGAAAGCGCTCTAGCCCTCAATACACCAGGAACGCAGACCTCCTGGTTCAGACAGAACTGACAGGTCCTCAATTAGGTCCGCTGTAAACCCCGCCTACCTCCCTCTGCCTTGTGTATATAAGAAAGCGCTCTAGCCCTCAATAAACGAGCGAAACCTTCATACCATCAAGAGCTGTGACACTGTGTGAGCTGTGACACTTCTTTCGCTCCCGTGCTGAGACGCTGCGCCGGTTCCAGACCTCCGCGCCCTCGCTCGAGTTTCCCTGCACGATACGTTCCCGCAGGCCGAGACAGCGTGGGAGCAGCATCTCTCAAGCCCACCGTGCACTTCACAGCAGTCGCCCCAACGCGGCCGCTCGATTCCATTTCCCGCAAGCCCCGGAGCCCACGTGGACTTTGGGCTGACCGTCAGGCTCTTTACACCAATCTTCGTAAGAACCTGGTTCACAGCACCTGCTGTCTGCAGCATAAACACCGACAACTTGATCTGCCAATTAGAAAACTGTGTGCAACTGCAAGGAAAAATACGTTATCTGCCATGGTGCGAGCATGTCCACAACAAAATTCCATGCCGGAAACTATCTCGCTGACGGGAGGAGCTGGGGCACGCTGCCTCCTGTGGCTCACCGCTCCGGCAGGAACTACGGGGCTCTCCACAGCCTCTGACCCCGGCACTCGACTGTTGCCCGGAGCCGGAGGCCAGCCCAGCCTAGGGACCCCAACTTCAGGCTCCCAGTCTTCAAATGGCAAGAGACCTTCGGCTCTATGCGAGTGCCCATCACAGCGTCATAGGACATCGAGGGCAACTCTGAGCTTCACGGGACACCGAGGGTGACTCTGAGAGGTCACAGTGTCCCCAAGGAGGTTTAGACGCAGGGCACATAGCAAGCACAGGACACTTGTTAACCACCCGAGCTAGACCCGGGCTTTGGTGACAGCACTATGTGGCTCTGGTTCTCTGGAGAATGAGGGACAGTACACAAATTGTCTTTAAAAAATAGAGATTTTGTACAAAGATTAGTTTAACATAAAAACTAACAAAACCCACTCATTTTTAGTGCAGTTTAATTAATTACACCCTGATTATAAACAATCTTTATTAACAACTGTATGTTCTTGGAACTGGAACCAGAAGCTGCAGGAGTGACATACCTAAGGGAGTGCACGCGACTCACGTAAGACCGCCATGCCACGTGGCCAGGCTGGGTGCACGCGGCTCACGTAAGACAGCCACGCCACACGGCCAGGTGGGGTGCACACGGCTCACGTAAGGTAGCCACACCACGCAGTCACGCCAGGTGCACACGGCTCATGTAAGACAGCCATGCCACATGGCCAGGTGGGGTGCACGCGGCTCATGTAAGACAGCCACGCCACACAGTCAAGCTGGGTGCACGCGACTCACGCAAGACAGCCATGCCACGCGGCCAGGCTGGGTGAGATGCTCCTCTGGTTGTAGAACACATGGGTTTTCAGGATCCAAAGTAGCTTCTAAGCGCACTGCCAAAACTAAAACCCCAGACCACAGAAATGTTTAATAACAAATGATTCCATCAACAGATAATACTCCCAAAGCTGAACAATAAATAGAAAAGCGTGTAATTCTTCATCTTGACCAGAATGCCACGCGTTGGTGAGTTAGGACCGGAAGTCAGTGAGAGGTTCAGAAGAAAAGGCACGTCCAGACAGACCACCAGGTGGTCCGGAGAGCACTGCCAGCCCAGCCAGCCCAGCCCTGCACAGGAAGCGCTCGGGACGTCCGGGGGCCGAGGCCACTTCCCTGCTGGAGCGCTGTCGCCGGCCCAGGTGGGAGCCCTTAGGGAACAGCAGCTACGGGGGGCCGAGGCGTCACGTCCCGGCTGTCAGAGGCTGGACCGTCTCTCTGGCCTTGGCACGCACCGCAGCGTCGCCGCTCTCCACAGCACTGGGGCCAGCAGCAGGCTGAGCGTGGTCACGCTGAGGGTGAGCAGATACACCTGCACAGAAACACAGCATGGCCCCGTTGGCGAGCACGGCTGCACGGGGCCCAGGTGTGGCCGCCCCAGTGTGCTCTCTGCATGCTCAGGGACATAGAGGCACACACAGAGAGGGCCAGGACATGGCCACCAAAGGGAAGCTGCGGTCAGTTCTGAAGACTCGCGGGCTCAGCCCCAGCCACATGGAACCCGCATACTCACCCCACGGCCCGGGAGGGCTCGCAGGGAGTTGGTGTGTCCCTCCCTCAGCCAGGTCCTCCACTGCCCTCCATGTCCTCCTGGCCCATACAGAGCCCCCAGGACAACTACCGGCTCCTAAGGCAGAACACGGCACAGAGGGACATCTGTGGGGCGTGCGCCTCTGTTCACCTGGGCTCCACGGACACCGACGTGCAAGGGAGAGCTTGGCGTCAAAGAGTGAGTGTCCCCTTCTAGACAGCAGCGGCAGGGCCACCACTGCAGAGGTCCCTGCACGGTGCAGGCTGTACTAACACTGGCTTTCTGCTAGAAACCAACACCTGGGGTGAGGCCCACCATGCCCAAGGCCCACGCAGCCCCGTGGACAGCTCACCTCCCGAGAGATGATGCCTGCTCTTCGCGCTCGGCTTCCCAGGACGAAGGAGAACTCACTGACCTGGGCCAGCCCTGCAGACACGATCCACTTGATGTGCTGGCTGCTTTTCGGCAGGATGAGGGACAGAACCAGCACTGCCAGGGCAAACTGCAGGAGATGAGGATGGGGTGTGACCAGGACACAGAGACATGGCCTGGATGCCAGGGGCAGGGGACAGGGGACATGGCCAGGATGCAGGGGACAGAGGGTAGGGGACATGGCCAGGACGCAGGGGACAGGGGACAGAGGACATGGCCAGGACGCAGGGGACGGGGACATGGCCAGGACGCAGGGGACAGGAGAGAGGGGACACGGCCAGGATACAGGGGACAGGGGACATGGCCAGGACGCAGGGGACAGGAGAGAGGGGACATGGCCAGGATATAGGGGACAGGAGATGGGGACACAGCCAGGACGCACAGACAAGTGCCTGGAGGGCGAGCAGAGCTCACGGCAGCCCGAGCCTGGCCTCGAGCTGGACGTGCATGGACGCCCAAGCCCAGGAGGCGCCGAGAACCAGACCATCTTAAGGGAGCCACACAGCCCTGAAGGCAGCATGCAGGCCACGGCTTCCCCAGCAGGAAACAGGCTTCTCACCCCCACCTGGATCACAGTGTCCAATGTCACGTGACATGCGAGAGAGAGACCGGAACGGCAGGGGGTGTGTGCACTCGCCAGAGACAGCGTGGAGGCACCCAGCAGGGTGGTTGCTGCAACCCCGCCTCCTCTCACGGCCACCCTCTATCTTGGGCATGCAGATGTGCCCAGGGTGCTTTTCAAGCCCTGGGGGTTGGGATTCAAACCACAGTGGGTCACGTGGGATCGAGCTCCCTTAACCACTAGTCCATGGGGCCAGCCTGGAAGCTTTTTTTAAATAAGAGGGAAAGGGTGTTCTGGGGTGGGCAGCCTGGAGCCGGGGGCCGGCGAATGCTCAGAGACCCTGGCTCCGTAGGAGGGCTGCATCCATCACCTGCTACCATCCCGCAGGCCAAGGGCAGCCGCTCCCTAAGTGAGAGCAGGCGTCGAGACTGACGGCGTTCTCAGCGTCTGGAACAAGCTGGGACAGCGTCAGGCCACACAGCGAGGCCTCAGCTTGGGACTGAGGTATGCCCCCATCCTGACGCTGGGCACACGCTCCATCTACAGGGCACGGCCCACGGCCTGACACCAGGACACCCAGCCGCCTCTCCAGGCCGCTCTTCGCCAGGACGAAGGGTCCCAGCAGTCAGGAGCCAAGCCCATCAGTAAGCGCGTGCTCCGAGGAGTCTGTGGGACTCGAAGCCATGGATTTCAGCCGACCTGAGTCAGAGAGCCGGTACCTTCGTGACCACCACGGACAGGGTGAGCACCACCAGCACACCGAGCTCGTAGATGACGAAGGTGGGGAACACGTGCAGCCCTGTGGGGAGGACAGAGTGGACAGTCACTTCCTGCCATCGATGGCTCTGTCCGCCACGCCACGCCAACTCCGGAGCCTCAGCCACACGGGGCTCTCCTCCAGCCAGAGCCGAGAGGCACCCCCACCTGAGTGCCCTGTGCCAAGAAAGCGCTGCCGCCCGCCGAGGCCGGGCCCAGGCTCTGCAGAGAGCTCACGGGAGCAGGCTCTGCAGGCATGTCGCGGGCTCCCTGCGGCCTAGGTAAGTGTGGCAGGCATGTCCCTGGGCCACAGCGCCCGGCCGCCTGCAGTGGCCCTACTCTTAGAGGCCTTGCCGCATACAGGAGCACCAGGCCCGGCTCTCCACACCTCCCCCCTGCGGGAAGGGGTGCCGACGAGCCGCTCTCTATACCTGGGCCTCAGTCCCAGTGATGCCACAGACCCACGGCGGGCCCCTCCGCCGGGCACGGTTAGCACGGAGGGAGCTCCCTTCCTGCCTGCGGCCGATGCCTGTGGGACAAGCACCCCGTGTGTGGGAGTATGACGGAGACCACGCGGATACCCGACTCGCATCCTGGGCCGTGGCCCTGTGGTCTCCAGCCCCAGGCCCGTTTCCTCCGTCAAGGTGGACTTGGGACGACTCAGCAAATGCGTGCTGGGAAGCCCGACCCAGCATAGGCCCATCCAGGTGCCCCGGCCCCCCTCCATCTGCCCCGCAGTCCATCCTAGACCAGGGGCTCCGCTGAGAGCGTCCTGCTCCAGGCAGAGCGGGACGGGGGAGCTCTCTGGAGGGCTGTCTCGTGCATGGGGGGTGACCGCACCTGGGCCCCATGGGCTCCTCTGAGGACCGACGCGGGCAGCTACTTCAGGGCTGGCAAGGACACTCGCCCATGGCCCTGCACACGGCCTGTGGGAAGTGGTCCTGGCCCACCCAGAAGCTGGGCGTGGTGCAGTGTATCCGTGGTCTCAGCACCTCGGCAGAGACAGGAAGGTCAGGATGCAACAAGACCCGGTGAGAAAAACGGAACAGGAATGCACATCCACCCGTGCTCCACGGAGGGGCTGGGCGCCCC